CCTTAAGCAGACGCCTTCTTTTCATGAACAATGTCCTATTCAGAACTTTGTGGCTCTCAAAAGGCACTGCTCAGCCTCATTTGGACTAAACCTTCATCCGAGGCAGGCAGGCTATGGCTTTGTCCCTTGCACACAGCGTGGTCTTCCCAGAGCACACCAGTGAACAATGAACAGATGAACCAATCAGACTGGGTTAGATAAAAGGTGGTTTCAAATTCTTTGGTATCTTCCCACTGACAGGTGGCGTCTCCTCCTCCTCCCCTTCAGCCTGGGCTGGCCTTTGTGACTTCTTGCCTGATAGAATGCAGTAGAAGTGATGTTCTGGGACTTCCCAGGCTAGGTCACTGGAAGCCTGGCAGCTTCCACCTGGGCCTCTTGGATAGTTTGCTCTTGGAAGCTTAGCCACCATGTGAGAAGCCCAACCCTGTGGAAAGGCCCCGACACAACGTGGAGAGTCAGAGGGGTCCAGCCTTGCCTTTGAAGGTGCCAGATGTGTGAGTGAGTGCCTTTTGGACCTTTTAACCTGCCCATCTACTAGCTGAATAACACCAAAGACCTCCATTGGTACAGAATGGAACAGAATAATCACTCTGCTGTTCCCTGCCCAAATTCCTTCTCCATGAAATCATGAGCAATAGTAATATGGCGGTTGTTTTAAGCCACTAAGTCTTGGGTGCTTTGTTACATATCGATAGACAGCTGGAACATGGACATGCTAGATCCTGTGACTCAGGCTCAGAGACCGAACCAACCACCAATTAAAGCTTTTAGCAAGGGCTCAATCACTGGATGTTGGAAGACACAAACACCTGAGTGGCACAGATGAGACAAAGGGAACTGTCTTTCCATAGGCCATCTGTCCTAGATGATGTTTTCAAATGAAGTTGAAAACTTCCCTTCGCAAACGCTGACTGTACGCCACGTGGTGCCAATGCCCTACTCAGCGAGGTGGACACCAGCGAGATCAAGGAAGGTCCTTTGGGGCAACAGGGAAGCTATGCAGTGTCCACGCTGTCCACTTGGTGATGTAACCAGCATGCTCCATATTGTTAAAAGGTGACAGTTGGGCATGAGGACGTGTGAATTCAAGTGATTAGATGCAAACTAAAAGAGAGATGACTACTTCTGAGAGCTGTGGGTTAATTTTTTTGGCTGTTCTTGGAACAGGGAATGATTGTGAGTTTCGGGGGAAAAATACCAGAGCAATCTGTTTTCTTGGCCGTGTGCTATGGAGCAATTTTAAAGCATTGAAGTGCTTTCCATATTTTCTAATCACTCGAGTCCAGCACTGATTATGGCTCTCCACATTCGCAGACTCACACCGCTGGAGCACTCCACGTCTTTCGGGGAGAGCGTTCACCTTGAAAGGAGGCATACAGATTCGGAAGGCACAGCTCGCTAAAGCAGGAACAAATACTTGAATTGCAGCCCAGCCCCACAAGGGCCAGGTGTTTTGGAAAATCACTGATGGTCCAACTCCGAGACAACCCAGATTCCTTTTCTCTTATCTCATAGGAACAAAGCGTAACTTCCCGCACCAAATAAAAAAGACAAAAACAAGTCCTACCAGAAACTGAACGCCCCAAACAAAAACCAGAGAAATTTAGATTGCTGAGACCTGTGGGCAGACACACACACACACACACACACACACACACACACACACGCACGCACAGACACACACAGTTGTATATGCATAGAACATCTCTGGAATGAGCCTCAAGAAATTGGTAGCTATGATTTCCTCTGGGAGAATTGGGAGACTAGAGAAAATTGGGAGGTTGATGGAGAAGAAGACTCATTTTTTTCATCATAGCCTTTTGAATACTTTGAATTTTAAAACATCATGTGCTACATTATTTCTCAAAGTACTGAAACAGAATAATTCCAAACCTGTATACGGTACTTAGCCAGCCCTGGCTACTGGTTAAGATTGGGACTCTCACCGCTGTGGCGGGCTTTGTTTCCTGGT